TATATATATATATGGTGTGTGTGTGTGTGTGTGTGTGTGTGTGTGTACTGCATATTGAGGTGTTTACTAACTAGCTGGGCTGGCTGATTCCCAAATGAAGGATAAATGAGAAATGTGGTAGAGCTAGAGTTTACAGAGGAAAACAATGACTGAAAACTGTCAAACAAATTAAGATTACAAAGACATTCAGTAACTCCAAGATGACGATAAACCAAACAAACAAAAACAAACAAACAAAAACAAAAAAAACAATCTGAACAATCTGGGCATAAGAACTGATGAAAGTAAATAAAGACAAAGAAGAATAGACTATAAAAAATGCTACAGCCTACTCTAGAACTTACCATTGACATTTTTTATTCATGTTTAATTAAGTGTTGTCTTAAATCCATCTCTTTAACTGAATCTTTTTGTAACAACATACATGAGGCTGTCCAAATGGCTGTCAAGGACAAAAAGGAACCTTTCATGCATTAATTACAAACAGAATGGCTTTTTCCTCATTGTACTTCAAGTAATTGAATTTTTATTGCCTTTTAACCATTAGGTTTTAGTAAATCCTGTAAAATTTCTTTCAAAAGAGCTTATTCACATTGTTTACCTATTCAACACTTGTTAACCTCAACTATATTGGTGCTTTATTAGATGCCTTAATTGACTGGTTTATATTAACGTAAACAGTGGCTGATTTAATTTTATTGGTTGAAACATTTCAGTGCTCAGCTATATTCTAAGAATATATTAAACTGATTGTGATGCCTTGTTAGAATAAAACACTGTAAAGTATTTTCAACCTTGAGAAATGAAGTTAAAGTTCATTGTTTGAAAAGCGAGCGTTCCTGTAGAATTCATTCAAGATGAGCCGTCATCCATCTTCTTCACGATCAAACGATGAGATCTGTTGGAGCGGTAATGAGCGTCAGTTTGCTGGTTTGCAGGGCGGTCACAATGCAGGCGATTACATCCTGCAGCGAAATGCTATTAATTACCTGTTATCAGATCAGTGGAGTAATTAACACTGCTGATGGATTGATGTAGCCTCAAGTTTTCCACCATCAATCATGGGGTGCTTTCACTTCTAGCAGCTGAGTTTTGTTATCGTGAGGCAGAGCAGCTGGTTTTCCTGAAGGTGCATGCATCTTTCACGGAGGAGAGGTTAGACAGGGGGATGTCCATTAGCTGCAAGAGGACCGCACACACGACGAGCACAAGCTTGTGTTGTTAAACATACACTCTAATCTTTGTAAATCAGCCCATTTGCTATCATGTTCCCAAATCTCTCGTGCACTTGATTAAACCTCATTTTACTTCACTATTTAGAGTGCCACAATGCACGTTGGTACACAAACACAGCTGTCCGGCCACATGTTAGGCCATTTGTTGAGTTAAAAAGTCAGTGTAATCTGGAAGATAGTGGCATCATATTCTAAAGGCAATGCACAAAGGCACTTCTTACATTTTTTTATACTGTGGAAAGTAAATCCCCAGTGAATAGATTTTTTTGCTCCCTGTAGGAGGCTAATCTTCAACATGGAGCTGACACAAATTCACAAGTATGGATGCTTACTGTAGCCTCAGGAGGCCTAACGCTTGTATTACGCTCGAGAGACGAACAGCGAGAGAAACTGCAGCACAGGCTTTGCCCAAATCACTGGAGTTCAGTGTCTGCTCTCAGCTTTTAAATTTCGTTGGCACTGCGTTGGGAGAGTTACGCAGGTCAAAACATGATATTCACTGAACAGATTTGATTGAAACTCGCAGATAGAAAGCACTGAATGTGCAACCAATTTAATTTAGAAGTAAAGTTCAAGTTCACAGATCTTTATTATTATCCCCTAAAGGCAATTTATTCTGCAGCCAGCAGCGGTATAAAAGACATAAAAGCACAGAGTCAGTCAGACATGTACAACATTCATCAAATCACAACAAATCATGTAAAAATCTAATTGTGTCAGGGATGAAAGAAACTTGATTCAAGATATCCCACCACAGCTAATCAACCATAGCAAACATAAAAATGACTATAACTAAGTCAGTACTAAAAAATTGTACAAGATTGTAACAGCGGGATGTCCTAAAATGTGGAGTTCCACAAGGATCCATATTGGGTCTATTGTTGTTTCCCATGTACATTAATGATCTACCAAAAGCATCCAGTATTTTGTCACCTACATTTGCTGATGACACCAATCTTTTTGTTACTGACAGTAACTGTGATTCACTTATTGATAAGGCAAACAATGGGCTCCTTCAACTTCCTCAGTGGTTTCAGTTAAATAAACTGTTATTTTATGTTAAAAAAATCTAATTTCATCTTATTTAAGAATAAGAATTACAATCCAGAAAAATGTGTATTAATAACAATTTACTTTCCAATGTTTCATCAGCAAACCTTTTTAGGTGTCCATATTGATGAGACAGTTTTGTTTTAAGAATCCTTGTGTATCGATTCGTAAGAAGATTTCAAAATATTTAGGTATTATAAAAGAAGTTAAACCCTATTTAAAAACAAGTACGGTACTTTATTAACCTTGTACTTTGTACAATACTTTAATTTATCCCCATGTTTCTTATTGTAAATTAAATTAGAAGTATCATTCTTACTTACAGTCAATCTATAAACTTCAAAAGTATTTTGTAGGTATTGTTACTAACTCTCCACATTTAGCTCCGTCCACACCTCTGTTTACAAAATTAGAAATACTAACAATTTATGATGGGAATAAGTATCAGACAGGAATCTTGATGTATAGAGTTATATGTATTCCATTATCTTCACCTAAATAGTTTCATAATTTCTTTGAGTTTAATTTATTAATTCTTATCATTTATACAGTAGTCTCCAAGAAGGAGGTATGATTTGCATGTCCTCTTCTGCAGAGCCACTGTTGCTAAATGTTCGTTCATGCTTCAAGGTGTTGCTGTGGAACCGTTTAACACAAGTGCATCATGTGCAACAGTATCTGGATTTAAAAGAAAGTTGAAATGTTTATGGTTTATAACACACATTTATTGTTTTATTTTTTATGATCATTTTAATATTTTAGACAATTAAAATTTATTATGAGCTATTATCCTTTGTATTTGTGTGTGTTTAAAGTAAGATGTAAGCTGATGTATAAAGCTTTTATGTTTTTTTCTCATTTTTTTTAGAATGGGGGGGCAGTGCTTGTAAGCCCATTTTGGGGTTTTATGACCTCTCCTGCAATTTTTTTTATTTTTTTAATCTCTTCCTTTATGTGTGTTGTTTATTTTTTGTGCAAACAATAAAATAACAATAACTAAAACAAATTGTACAAGATCTCAAAATATTATAAAATTCAGTTTATTTATAAAGCACCAAATCACAAAAAGTTGTCTCAGGCACTTTACAGGAACATTCACGTAAAAGCCAATTAGTAAAGTTCTTTATCTAAGGAATCCAGCAGACAAGATGAATCTTGGCTTCGTTGCAGTCTCCCATCAAAATCACCCAAAATCCCAAAATCACATGTAATATTATTTTTAAGGTTTGACCAAAGCAGCTATGACTTTATCATTTCTTAACTTAAGATATCAGTTTAAAACGATGGTTTGAAAGGTGGCAGGTGATATACATTCCTTTAAGAAACACTAGACCTTTAACTAAAAAAGATTTAAAAATGCATTTTCCCAATAAGATGAGACTCCTGGTGAATCGCTTCGAGCTGCTGTAATGTAAACATACATTTTGGTAATAAGTATTAAAAATTATAAAATCACACGTCTCGTGTTGTCATCAACTATAATTAAATGTCAGTTGTGTTCAAATAAACACCGTCTTTATGCAAAACATGCATTTTGCTTTTGGCTTAAACCTCTGATACACTTTAAAGTGTGAACAAATGTTTTGTTTGTTTGTTGCACTTTTAATTTATTCCCTATGATTATTCCATATTTCATTACGATTTAAAAGAATATACAAAAAAAAAGTTTGAAGTGTTTGACTATTTTCTTATATTTGCTAAAAATAAATACCATATTTTTCAGACTATAAGGGTGCATTCACAGCAGCCCTGTTTAGTCGCTTTAATCCAACTCCAGCTCGTTTTCCTAGAAAGTCCGGTTCGTTTAGGGAGGTTTGAACGCACCATCGAACTCTGTCACGGAACAAAAAGATGAACTCTGGCCCGGGCTAAAACCTAGGTCTCGGTCCGGTAGAAGAGAACTCCAGCACGGTTCCAGTACAGTGTGAATGTAAACAGACCGGACCCGCTCCACAGGACAAACAAACACACATTTCTCTTATATGGAGCCGTCAGCTGACTTGTGTGAAGAACAATATTCTCCATGGTCTTCTGTCTCATCTTCTGCTCATGCTGAGTCCATTTTTGAAAAATGACAAAATATAACTCCTAAAACGTGAAGACGCCAATGACTTGACACGCAACACATGAATTGTGGGGTGGATTCTTAGAGAACGGGGAAGTAATAAGCGGACGGCCACCGGGTTCACCACCTTAGAGATGGGGAAAGGACCCACAAAACAAGGTGCCAACTTACCACTGTCCACATGGAGGGGAAGATCCTTGGTGGATTACCAGACCTTCTGACCCACTTGGTAAGGTGGGTTAGGAATGCGTCGATGGTTGGCACTTTTAGCATAGACAGTGGACATCTTAATAAGGGACCTCCTAGCTCTCCTCCAGGCTTGTTGGCACCTGAGAGCAGCTCTGTGAGCAGAAGGGACTACAGCAATCTTGTCCTGGTTGGTGAACATTGGCAGTTGGAACCCATAGACCGTGTAGAAAGGTGATAGGCCAGTGGTGGAGGAGGGTAGGGAGTTGATCGCATGTTCAACCCAGGGTAGATTGAGTGACCACTTGGTCAGATCTTCCTCACATAATATTCTCAGCTTGGTCTCAGCCTCCTGGTTCGCCCTCTCGCTCTGACCGTTAGTCTGTGGTTAAAAACCAGAAGAGAGACTGACTGAAATGCCCAAGAGGTTACAGAACTCTCTCCAAAAGCAGGATACAAACTGGGGGCCTCGGTCCGAGACAATGTTCGTTGGCAGACCATGAAGGCGATAAACCTCATGGACCAGGACTTCCCCCAACTCTTTAGCGGATGGGAGCTTCTTGAGTGGAACTAAATGAACCATTTTTGAAAAACGGTCAATGATTGTGAGTATTACAGTATTACCGGAAGATGAGGGTAGTCCAGTGATGAAATCCACGGAGATGTGGGACCAGGGGCGTGAAGGTATGGGAAGCGGTTGTAGGAGGCCTGCAGGTGGTCGACGAGATGTCTTGGCCTGAGCACACTGACAACACGATGAGACAAACTCCTTGACATCCTCAACCCAGTCTCTCCACCAGAACTGAACCCTCACCAGTGCCAAGGTCTTACTGATACCTGGGTGACAAAAAAGTCGAGATTGATGGCAGAATTCAAATACCTTTTTGACGTGGGCTTCGGGGACGAACACACGGCCCTTATGACAGTCAGCGGGTGGTGGTTGGGTCTGATGGGCCAGTCTGATCTCCTCCTCCACCTGTGTGATTGACAGCCGGACCATCTCGGGCAGAATGAAGTCCACCTCCTTGCTGGTCTGACTCTCATTTGCTCTGTTCTGAACCCTGGACAGGGCATCAGGTTTTGTGTTCTTGGCTCCAGGTCTGTAAGAAAGTACAAAATCAAAACGGCAGAAAAACGGGGCCCACCTTGCTTGTCTGGGGTTCAATCTTTTGGCAGTCTTTAAGTACTCTAGGTTCTTGTGGGCAGTCCAGACTTTAAAGGGTTCATTGGCCCCCTCCAACCAGTGCCTCCACTCCTCCAGAGCCAGTTTGATGGCCAACAGTTCACGTTCCCCAACATCATAATTATGTTCTGCTGCTGATAGGCTCCTGGAGAAAAATACACATGGGTGAATCTTTCCATTATCAAGACGCTGGCTGAGAACAGCACCTACCCCTGTGTTGGAGGCATCCACCTCCACGATGACCTACCGATTAGTGTCAAGAGAACAAAGGATAGGAGTGGAGGCAAACATGCTCGTCAGTTTGCAGAACACGGTCTCGGCCTGTTTGTTCCACAAGAACTTGTTCTTAACTGAGGTGAGTGATTGCAAGGGAGCAGAGATCTGACTGTAGTTTCTGATAAATTTGCGATAAAAGTTTGCAAAACCTAGAAACCTCTGCAACTGTTTTCTGTCCTTTGGGGTAGGCCAGTCAAGCACTGCAGAGACTTTGGCATGGTCCATAGAAACCTGATTGGGTGAAATGTTAAATACTAGGAATGAAGTGGTGGTTTGGTGAAAATCACACTTCTCAGCCTTAACAAAAAGGTTGTTCTGTAGAAGTCTTAATAATACTGCCCTTACATGTTTCTTGTGGATGCGCAAGTCCTTTGAAAATATGAGGATGTCGTAGGCAGGCAAAGAGGCAAATCCGGAAAGCAGGCATGAGGTCAAGACAGGAGTTTCAGACAAGATAAATGAAGCACTGGACATCTACAACCAAAATGATTATATAATCTGGCAAGGAGCAGTGAAACAAGAGTTCTTAAATAGGGCAGACAACAGGTGCAGCACATGAGGCTGATTGAGCTATAGGTGAAGTGGGTGTGGCTGAGAGGCAGAGCTTGAGTGGAACATGACTGAGCAGAAATGAGACATCAAGGAG